GTGCCGCACCTGCGGGTGGCGTGGGCCACCCATCGACCTGGACGCAGCTGGCGTGCGGGCCGGCAGCCCGGAAAGTTAATCTGGGGTTCACACGCAGACTCCCTCCCGGCGGCCGGCTAGATGCACAAGCCCTTCCCAGAGCCCCAGCGAAGGACCACCGGCCATGCGGAGGGGGACGCAGGAGCGTCCTCTCGCCGCGAAACCAAAACAAAGCCCTCTGCAGTCGCCTTGCGTCTGTTTCTGTGCTGGACCCCGTAGTGAGCTTCACTCCAGGAACAAATTTCCTACAAGTTGAGACCGAATTGGACTTTGGAAACAACCTGGGTTCTAAGCCCGGTTCCTCCACCACTTACTCCAGGCGGATCTCGGCCGCAGCACTCTGTGCCTCAGTTTCCTCATCTGTTATGTTACATGGGGGAAATAGCCCATACTTAATAAGGTCGTGTGAGATGTCCATGATACACTTGTAAAACATTTAGAAAGGCGCCTGCCACATCTTGAGTACTCAGTTAAATGCAAGCTATAATTATTTGATGAGGAGCAATCCCATCCAGGCAAGTGCTTTCTTATTCATTCAATGCTTATCCAGCACAAAGGTGCCGGGTAGGCACAGTCACAAGGACACCAAGGTAGAGCAGGGCAGTTCTGCTCTCCTGACCTTGCAGTTCAGTGGGAAGGCAATAAATCAGGCATGGCAAGAAAAGAACTGAGCCTTGAGGAAGCGCTGGCGAGGACCCTGGCCCGGTGTTGGGGAGCAGTCGCATGAGGAAGAGGGGCTGGGTCGGCCAGGAAGCTCCTCAGAGGAAATGACAGGGAGGCAGAATCAAAGAATGAGGAGGCACCAGAGGAAGAGTGGAGAGAGAGGGAGTCACGCCCTGGAATGAGCTCCCAGAGGGGAGAGAGAGTGGCCCATTAGAGGACCAGAAAGCTCTGTTAGGCCCAAACTAGGCTGTTAAGAAAACGGCAAGAAATGAGCAGAGAGGAAATCGGGTGCCAGAACCTGGAAGGCTTTGTGTGGTGAGTTAAGGAGTTTGGACTTTAGCCCAGACAGGGCCTCGGCGAAGCGCCTGCAGGTTTTGATAAAACAGTACTGCTATCAGAAGTCCATTTTGGGAAGACCACTCTGGCCTAGGTGTGGAGGATGGATGGGAGGGGAGTTCTACAGGAGGCTGGGGGTGTTGCTGAAAGTCCAGCCAAGAGGAGATGGCGACCAGGCCCACAGAAGAGGCTACAGGGAGGGAGAGGAGTGAGCAGGCATCCTTGATGTGGGGAGGGAGGCTCCATGCAATGCAGATTGAGGGTGAGGAATGGGCCAGAAAAACCTGTTCAACCTCAACAGCTGAGATCACAATACAAAGGGTAAGGTTGGGTGGACTGAGTTTGAGATGCCCAAGGGGCATTCAAGTGAAGATGTCCAAAAAGCAATCAGGGTGGGGGCGGGGTGGAGTTCAGAACTCAGAAAGGGGCTCTGGGTTTGTAAGACCTTTTTCACCCTACTGGACAGTATGATGGTGAAAACAGTAAAGTTACTCTTACAATCTTTGTAGATTAACTTTGATTAAAAAATATATTCATATATATACATACATATATATATGTATACATATATATACATATATATACACGCACATATATATCTCCAGAATGCAGGGCAATGAAGAATATGCTATGGAGGATACGAAAATTACTAAAGGGACTTATTTGCCCCCACGCCTCTCCCTTGGCTGTAAATTCCTTGCTAGCAGGATTTGCCCTTAAATAATCATTTATTCCAAGTAACTCTTGGTATTGTGATATAGTAACTGCACTGTAAATACTTCAATTAAATCGAATTGGATTAAGTATTTATCACATATGCCAAGTAGTACATCAAAAATCTCCTCCTGGGTGTTAAATATTACCTCTTCCCCGCACGACAACCCTGACTCTGACATCTCTCACTTCTTTCTCTCTGCTAGACTCATTTATTTATTGACCATCTACCATGCCAAGAAAAAGTCTCTGCTGTCATGGCACTCGCATTCTAGAGGGAAACAGACAATGAAACGGGTAAATCTATAACGTAACGTGGCATGTGGTCTGTGGAAATTGGGATAAAGGAATCACGTGTGTACGGGCGTGGGGTGGGGAGGAGGATTCTGTTCTAGGCATGGTGGTCAGGGAAGGCCTCTCCCAGGCAGTGACATTTGAGCGGAGACCTGATTAGAGGGAGAGAGGGAGTCTTGGGGGGTCTCTAGAGGAAGGGCATTCCAAGGATAGGAACACCAAATGCAAAACCCCTTAATATGCTCAGCAACTAAAAGGCACGAGGTAGGGTGCCCGAAAGCCTGAGCGAGAAGGAGAGGAAGGCCTGTTCTCAAAGAGGTCACAGAAGCCAAATTCTGTAGGACCTTGCAGGCCCTGGGAGCAGTGTGGATGGCTCTGGCTGCAGAGGAAGGATGGAGCTCTGGTGGGTAGGAGTTGGGGAGGGACACCAAGAAGGAGGTTGTCTCTGGTGAGAGGTGACCACGGCTAGGATTAAGGCAGTAGAGATGCAGGTTATGAGAAATGTGTGGGATCTGGAAGCATTTTGAAAGTATACTCAATGGAATTTTCTGGAGAATTGGATAAGGAGGGGGAAAGAAAGGAGACACGTGACACCTCAGCCTGCTTGGGAGCTCTCCGGCCCGTGAAGCTGCCCAGCCTCTTCACCAAGACCAAACTTTCTAAGTGCTAACTGTACCCCACCCCCCACCAACTGTCCTCCATCCTTGAACCCTGTGCTCAATTATATTTTCTCAGTTCTTTCTTCTCAACTTACCCAACCTCCTATCACCTTGACTTCTTGCACCCTTCTGGATGGTCTGCCAACCCTTGACATCCACCACCACCCAAGATATGTAATGACTGGTCCCCAGCATAGCATCGTTCTAATTTCCACATTGATGAAACATCTCAGATACTCGAATTACTGTGCTAACCATAGGGCGGGGACAGTAAAGCTCAGTTAAGATAATGCCTCTGCCCTCCACACGCAGGAACAATTAAAAGAAGTGAGTGCTGAACAGTGGCATGACAGTGGCCCTTTCGGGAGGCCACCTGCAGGCAGAGAAAGAGCCATAAGAGAAGGAGATACATCAAAGGAGACAGTCCCCAGTCAGCCAGTGTCTGGTGAATTTCACAAATGCATCATCCCATCTGCTCTGTTCAAGTTGACTTTTGATTTTGATTGATATATCTGGTGCCTGGGTTGAACATCAGTAGCTTGCTTCACAAAATCTTATGTTGGAATGCTAAAGCCTCTCCTGGACTGGCCTGAAATCAGGCGGCTATCTGGGAGGTTTTGGAAGACTCCTTAATCTTCTCCCCCAGGGAGTTAAACTCAGAAGCCTACAGAAGCCAGGCTGACCCATAGCTTCAGCAAACCATGGCCGTTGAGAATGAAGGTCCAGTGTTGCCTGATCTCACTTTTCAAGAAAAGCAGGAAATTCAGATGTTCATTGAATTCATCCTAATTTTTTCCCCCCATTGGAAACTAGTGTTTAAAAACACATGAAACCCTATGGGAGACAACAACACAAAATTTATTTGTGGTCTATGGCCATGCCACCCTGAACACACCCTATCTCATCTGATCTCAGAAGCTAAGCAGGGTCGGGCCTGGTTAGTACTTGGCTGGGAGACCACCCAGGAAGACCAGGTGCTGCAGGCATTAAAAAAAAAAATTATTTGTGGATGAGATATATCCAGGGTTCTATCAGTCCAAGATCTCCAGACCTACTGTAGCTGTATTCAAAGGCTAATTTAAAACCACGAGTGACATAAAGTTACCAAAAAAAGGTAGGGGAGGGGGGATCTTAGCCAAGTTCTCTGGAAGAAAGCTAGGGTGAGGCATTTTGGGCAGAGCCAGCCTGACACTTGGTGCTCAGGAGCACGGATGTTAATTGCTCTTACTGCACTTAGAAATGCCAAGTGGAAAGAGCAAAGCTCCCCACCCCACAAAACAGCCGCTAAACAATCCTCCTGACAGCAAGCTTCCTTCCCGATGAT